TATTTATACAAAATAACAACAATGAGTTACTTCCCCTAAATTAATAATGTTAATGCAACAGTCTACCCTTTATATTTATTAATCTGTTTTATAAAGGTAATGATTCCATATGATTTGGTTACTAATAATTATTTAAACAGCAACCCAGCAGACGCACAGGCAGCACTTGCATATGTCTGCTGTATTTCATAAAATAAATAGATGTTTTAATATAAATTAAAAAAATAAACGTTGAGCAATTAATTTTGAGAACTGCAAAAATTTGATGTAAAATACAATGACTAAGTATAAAATGATTCCAGAACATACACTTCTTTAAATTGGTTTAGGCCATATCTTTAAGAAAGAATACAATATGTATAAATAATGTCAAAAAACCAAAATACACTAACCAGGTATGGGTCAGAAACTTTAACTATTAAATTAAACATGGAGTTCCTTAAAGCTCCATTTGGGGTCTTTATTATTTCTGTGTTATGTCCAAGGAATGCCTTCAATTTCAAAAAATATTTTAGGAACAGAAAATCAGTTAGTACTTAATGCTGATGATGCAAACTTTATTATGCTATTTAGATGTAGCAATTAGTATATTTGCAATGGCAGACATATCAAACTACTCACCAGAAACATTGTTTTCATGCATTGAAAGGGCAACATATTGTTTAAGAAGTCGATCTTCTGAAGAAGGACTTTGTTAACTAGCAGTCTTGAATATTGAAGGAGAACTGCATGAACTCCCTGGATTTAACTTGATCAGTTATTGATTCATTTTCTAGGTTTAAGTCAAGGAGAAAAGTGTGAACTAACTACTAACTTAACTGTTAACTCATGCAAAATTGTATGTTATTCTTAAAAGTAGGATCTGTAATAGATATAACGCTTTTCATCTAACACTTGGCATCTTTTGGGGTAACCTTAGTGTGGTTAGTGAGCACCAGCGCGCTGATGAGGATGGGGGATTGGGCGACTAACTTCGCTGCCTAGGCGGCAGATAGTTAAATACGTCCCTGGTTTGACGAGGTTTATTTTACCCACCATTTGTCAATCTTGCAATCCAATGAGGTGCAATCATTTAAAAAATGAATTATCAAAATATTTCAACTGTAGGAAAAGTATTAACTCTACCTGCATCCCTCTTTCTTTTCCTTGCTGGGCTCATCTCAAATCAGGGCCGTCCCTAGGGTTGGCGGCGCCCGGAGCAAACAAGGACGTGGCGCCCCCTCCCCCCCAGCAGTAATAGTTGCATTCACATATTTCAATACTATGTTAATACAAATAGCCGCTGCGTGGCGCCCCCTCAGCCACAGCGCCCATTTAACTAAAACTAAAATCAAAGTTTACTGTTTGAGTTTAAACATAATAAAATATTTAATTTTAAAATTTGTCAAAAGAACTACTGTTGCTAAGGAAATTATGTATGATTCCCTTTTTCCATGAAACTAGGCCTTGAACTAGTGCATTTCTTATATCAACAGATTAATACAAAAACCTTTTCTAGTCATCCTATTAGTCATATTATTAGTTACCCAATTAATAATATTTTATACTGGTAAATGTAACCTCACATCACAGTTTCACATGACAACAACACACTGACAGTTGAGTTTATTTTACAGTGAAAATGGTGTAATACAGAGCTGGAAACCTTACAAACTAAAATTTTTATATTCTGTGGATCGAGGTACTATCTCCGTTTAGTGCTGCAGCCTACAGGAGGATTAATAAACAATGTTGTAAAAAGTGTGTTGTATGGTCACCTATACCGGCCGGAGGAGCTTATGGGGAAATAAGTAGTGGCCAGCAGTGCTGCCTGTACAACATGTGATTCACTGCGCCGTGTAAACATTACAAAGCTGATATAGAACGTAGCACTGTCCAGCAGGGCTGGCCATTCGAGTGCACTTTTCTAAAATGGCTATGAGACCACAAAGGGTTAATAAATAAATAAATCAGCCAAATAAGCAGTTCACATAACCGTTATTATAACATAAGTGTAATATAAAACGTCAACTTCTAATAATTAGTTTTTTTTCATACATGCTACAGCTCACCATAATCAATAAAAAGTAAAAAATGTTTCCTCTTTCCCATTTTGTGCCATTGTCCAGCCTGCACCCTTGGCAGGGGCCACCTTCGCCACAGCCTCTCAGCAACGTGGTCCAGGGGTCAAAGAGCAGAGTCGACTCAGCAGGGGGGAGAAGGCGCCTTCTATGAGGAATGAAGCGACGTTCTTGTGGGGGATGATGGTCAGTCAAAATGGCACAAGATCACACAAATGCACTTATCTCTAAATTTTCAAAATAATCTTGCACGTCTAAAGCCAGATTGAATCTTAAAAAATAAACAAAACCACACTTTCTTAGAAAAAAATCACAAGTCCGTGCTCGATCTCAAGCTTGTGTTTGAGTAAACGCTCAAATAAAACTAGCAAATAAAAAATTCAAAAGTAAAATTAAAAAAGTAACTTTTATAATGCATTGGTGTGTTTGAAAGATAAAATAATGCCCTTTGCAGTTTGATAATTTATGAACGTGATGATTTAAGAGAGTTGCCGGAAACATAGAACATGCGGAACTAACTCAAGTAGCGGTTGATGATTTGAAATGTCCTTCCAGAACATTCAAATTGACCAATGAGAGGACAGAGATAAGAATATAAGGGAGGAAAGTGTTTGAACTGTGTAAAGGTTCAAATGTTTAAAATCATGTCAAATTCACGTTTTGTGATATTGTCCAATTATGATTATAGAATTAAGAAGGCTTGGTGCCAATCCAATCATATCAATAGTAAACTTTATTACAGACAACTGATCCATAATACCATCATTTACATTTGAGACTTACCACCCTTGTCACTTCTGAAGATGCTGTAAAGCAGTGGCGGTTCTAGGACCATGTCAAGGGTTCCGTAAGAATAAAAAAAAATTAGAAAATTAGGAATTTTCAAAGCCGTTTGATGACTTTCTAAAGCTATTTTCAATACCTAAAACAATGGAACGATTGTCCATAAACTCCCATTTCGCCTGTTGTTTGTCATGAGCAAATAGACATTTTAAAAATTAAACTATGACGATTGCATTCATGAATTTCAAAACACACTGTAGACTACGGCCATATCCTCCTAAAAGCTGTTAACTGTTTCCTGACTACTAAAGCCATTATTAGTGTCTATATCTATGTCCAACTGTCCAAAAACCTCCCATTTCACCTGTTATTTGTCTTTGGCATGAGCAAGTAGACATTTTAAAAATTAAACTATGGCGACCTTGCATTCATGAATTTCAAAACATAGGCCTACTGTAGACTACAAAGCCATCTCCTAAAAGCCATTTGGTGTTTTTATAAAGCCATTTCTAACGGCTAAAACTGTGCCAATTGTCCTAAAACCTTCCATTTCACCTGTTATATGTCATGTAAGCAAGTAGACACGTTTGATTTATCTATGGTAATAGCATTGACTAAACTTTAACGCTAGTTGTGACGCATAGCGACACGCTATATTTTACATAGTGTGTGCCGTTCGCGAAGCCGGGCTGCATGACTATCTCGTTGCCTGCCGCGACTGCATAAACGCGCTATCCCCACCCTCCTAGACTCTTGTCCTCTCCTCCTTCTTGCTCAACCAACCGTCAGACGGAAAGGAAGCCAAAAATTCGCCGAACCGGACTCTCATGTTACGGATAAGTTTTTTACCTTAGCTTAGGACTAAAATTAATAGCAATAATGTCTGGCTAGTTCAGGAAACAAGCGGGGAGCCCTTCTGGCTCACCCGACTATTGAAATGAGGTCAATTAACTTTTAGCTGAGATGGCTGCCTTCAGCACCCATCCTTATCGAACATGAAATATTAAACCACATGTTCCCAGAATGTAACTTAGCAATTATTTCCAGTTATCCAAGTTCAGTTCTTAGTGGGAAGGATAGATTAATATGTAAATAGTTAGTTCCATAGTTCAAATCAAAGCTGGCTAGGCAGGTGTTCTGATCTGGGTAAAAGGTCTCCGTCCCTCTGGTCCCCAGCAATCTTCCTAATTTTATTGGTAGCAGATTCAGCAGGCTTAAATTAAGTTTGGTCCAGACACACCTATTCCTAACCTATTAGCCTTACCCTGTTTATTCCCTCCTGATTACCCGAATTCCCTCCTCCATACCCATTAACCACCCATTACCCCATCATCTAACCCTCACCGAACGGCCCCCCAGCTACATAGTGTATATATAGTCAATGGTAATAGGTTACTGTTGCTACCGCTGATTGCTGATTGATGCCTGTGGAAATTTAGTGGCTAGCAGACAATAACTATGGAACATCAGGAAATCAGCTGTTTCCCCGACTTCGCTGGCGCGCTGGCCTTTGGCCAGGCATGTCAACAGCTGACTGCTGTAAAAATTTAATGATGCATACAACTTTCCATAGTGTAATATTGTTTTATTTGTTGTGCTATTGTCCACAAAGTTTACCTATGTGGAACTTAATACCACTCCTGTCATTGCTTATTGAGTTTAATAAAAACTACATTGATGTTTGTTTATGACATTGCGTGTTTTAAGGACAAAATGTACGTGTTTTAAGGACAAAATGTACGTTTAAATTGATTTTTCCAGGGTCCAAGGGGGGGGCCTTTAGCCCCAGTAGCCTCCCCTTGGAACCGCCACTGCTGTAAAGTATATTTATTATACTTTTTATTTTAATTTTGTGTTTACAATTTAATCCTACTATCTTGACTGCTTAGTATTACTGATGGATTGTTTAGATTTATAACTCAAAATGAATAAGTAAAGACACATATAAATTGGTTTATCATAAGAAACATATTTTATTAAAAAATTCATGTTTTACATTGAAAATGAAATTACTTCTTACAAATTCTTTGGACATATATTTAAAGCCATGTTAATTAATACAATTATTACAAAAACAATACCCAAGAATTTTTTTTATTATTTTTTTTTAACAAAGGGCATGTAAAATTCAGGTGGTTAAGAAGAAGATTGGAAGGTTCAGCGGCGTGCTCGTCCACTACAACTGGGCCCACCACTACCACCTCGCCCACCCCTACCACCTCGCCCACCCCTACCACCTCGCCCACCCCTGCCGCCTTGCCCACCCCTGCCGCCTTGGTCACCCCTGCCGCCTTGGTCACCCCTGCCGCCTTGGTCACCCCTGCCGCCTTGGTCACCCCTGCCGCCTTGGTCACCCCTGCCGCCTTGCCAGTTGGGTCGACCCTGCCATCCCTGGGACGGCCCTCCCCTTCCTCGACCTTGAGCTTGAGCTTGAGCTGCATGAGCACGCAGGACAGCTGACTTGCCTACAATAATCACAACATTAATAATCTTTATATTTGACTTTTGGTTACTGCAGTATAACCAGCTGTAGCCAAGATTGAACATATAGTTCAATTGAATGTAGGCCTACCATTGAATTCAATTAAAATGAATATAGTTTGTCGAATGAGCTAATCACAGAGTGTGCTACTGTCTAAAATAATTTTCTCTCTTAGTTTTTTTTTTTTTTTTTACCTCGGTATAAGGTACAGAGTCAGACCCGGACAAGCTCCCAGGCATGGCCGAAAGGAAAATAGGCTTTTTAATATCTAAAAATAAAAATATGTAGCCATAGCTTAACTTATTTTTCAAATAGGTTTTCTAAAAGGTTTTCTGGCTAATAAAGCATTATGATTTTGAAGTTTTCAAGTATTTAATGAATGTATTTGCGACAACAGCATCAACATCGAGATCTTAAACATAGGAGAAGGCTGTTGTCGAGCAGTACACATTACGAATCATACTACCCTGCCACTATGCTGGCTCGGCAGTCGGTGCTACTGCTCGGATTGCTTATAATAGAGGCGCATGTATGTGCCAATATTATTGTCAAGACACTGTTATTACCACTGTCACCTCGCAAAGCGAAAGTTATAACCAATATTTTTATTAGCTTACAAAAACCTACAGGATCAAGTAAAAATATACGTTGTGTTGAATGTTAAAAAAACAACAAGTTCGTCCAATCAACGAAATATTAATCCGAGTTTGCAAAAGTTTTAGAATGATCAAATACCCTCCAAAGCGTCATTTAAATTCTGGCATTCTCTTCTCAGGCTCAGGCCTGTGATCGATCGGTATGACTGGTCGAAATATTTTGCTATGGTTTATTACGAATATAATCTCGATGCAGTATCACTATAACCATAGACAACCCAAATTATAAATATTTTTATTCTTGTCTAGTTTGTGTTTGTGACACTGGTACTAATAGTGACGACAAAATTTAGTTTATTTCATCTTAGGGTTAATTCAAAATTTTAGCGAATTTCCCTATAGGGAAGTAGCTATTACCGTAGGTGGCACGGTAAGACCTAGACCCGGGACCGATTTACCTTTTCATTTTGATGTCCCCAGAGGCCAAAAACACCATTCGTTCAAATTTTTATATATGTATATATATATATATATATAGACATATATATATATATATATATATATATATATATATACGTCCGTGAACGCGATAACTTGAGTAATTTTTTTCAGATTTTGATGAAATTTGGTTTAAAGGTGTAAAGCGGGATAAACTTGAATGAGTTCGCGAACCAGCACGATCGGACCATGGGAACGGGGCTTTACGGGGGGTTTTATGGGGTAAAAATTGGTTTTTCTCACTTATGACCCTCAAAACACAAAATTTCCCGATTTCTCTTTAGACCTTTTTAAAGAGCTTAAAAAAACAAATAATTTAGTATATAAAAGTATTTTTGTTCGATTATAGGTAACGGAGAAAATTAAAAAAATTGTAAATTTAAAATTCCCATGTTATTCTTATGGAGAATATTGTCAAATGTTGTAGTTTGCTTGTTTATGGATATATTTTGATCAAACTTGGCAAATTTATTTATTTTGTACTAAGCTATCAATATTTTCCTCAAAAACACACTTTATTAGTTTCCTTGTAGCAGCAAACCTAGGTACTCGTTAAACCTAATGTTATTAAAATATATTTAACTGAAAATCAATTCAGACAAATGGAAATTCGCTTAGTCGGCAGGTTTGCTGCGGCGGGGGTATTTGTTTATTTCTTGTAATACTGTATAACCAGGTGACAGGCTATTGTTTATGATTATATTGTTTTATTTGGTTAAAATAGGTTTTAGATTTCTGAAATAACAAGAATTGTCCTCAGCTGATCCAAAAGGTTGACAAATCTACTAAGGGAGTATGTTTAATCTATGGTATCATAAAGGTACGTAAATTTAATGTACCAAAGTACTGTTGGAAGAGCCTTTAGCGGGAGCTCTGTGCAGAAACTCGAACATTGCACAGAGCACAAGGTGGTCTTCCTTCACCATGAGCAACACACATGATGTGTCACTGGTCCATATGAATGAAAAATGCAGTAGCAAACGTATATAACATGGTATAACTTAGCTATCCATACTAAAACAATAGGCTTTTTTTAACCCTAGGACTGCCCTGACCTGATTTATGTCAAATTGCTCGGTGCCCTGCCAATTTTGGCCACTTTGCATTCAGTTATTTTTGACAATTCACAGGGCCTAAACCACTGTTGGTAACTAGTCATATCTATACTTGTTTTGTTCAGAAAAAGATTGTTTCAGAAAAAGAAAAACAACAAAAAAGTAAGAGGAATTCCTGTTGGTGTATTTTTTACAAAATGAGAAAAAAATATTTTATTCACATTTTTTAAATAATTTTCAAAAGTAGAGGCCTAGCATTATTACAAGATTTTTTTACAATCTAAGATATACAAAATGTAGGCAATTTATTTCCCTACGTGGAAATGTGATTGATTTGCATAAACAATTTTTTACTAGAATTACGGATAAATATACGGAAATAGGGGAAAATTAACAAAGTTACATTTAAAAACATTTAAAAAATATAAGTAAAATCATGAAAGTATACAATTTATATAGGTAGGCCTACTAAAATTGTTATATTTATAAAATTAACAATACATTTATTCAGAATAATGTCATATTGTACAAAGTAATAACCTTTTTATGACTTTATAAGATTTGAAAAACAAACTTTTAGTTTTGCCGAAAACAAAAATTAGTTACCGTATTGAAAGTTAGTTCTAATTTTTGTACTTTACTATAATATGATAAATGGTACATGTATTTATAGGAAATATATTTCTGAACTCAGGAAAAAAATATATGTCTAAACGGAAATATAAACAAAGGTTCCAGAAGCATTATTGTGGCGTGAGACACACATACGGATTGTGGACTAGGCCAGGATGTAAGTCTAGGCTATTATAGGCCTAACCTGTACACAATCACTATTTCAATAACACAAATTTGATCATTTTCCATTTACAAGTAATGTGTCACTTGAATCTCAATACTGAAAGGCACCAAAACATAGAGATAGAACGCTTTCTCAGCTTCAAATATGTTTGACTCACGTCACGCATTGTCAATCACCGATATTTTTATTAGTGATTTAGGAACCGCTGTTGAAACGGCGCTTTGGGAAAAATGGCTAGTTGACCTAACAGCTGAATTCAAAAATTTATTTCTCAGACTTCCTAATGTCGTATGACAAAATTCTAATCCCGAAAATAAAGAAAACTCATGTTCTTTCCAATGTTACAAACCGTTTTCTGTTTGGGCCAAAATAAAGAATTCACAATTTTTTTCAAGAACACATGTTTTACGAGATTATGCCAGTAAGAAAGCTTATATAATAAGCTAGTTAATAAAATAAGTATCCAAAAAAAATATTGTTATAGATTTTCTCCTCTTTTCAACCGTATCAAAATTAATAAGATTCTGGATCATTTTCATTGCGTAATAAGCGTTTGGAAAAAAATGTACTCACATCTGCCGCAAACATGAAACCGCCTTATAAACGGCGGAAGGCAGTTCTAGGGTTAAAATTTCAAAAATTCCTAACTCAACTGTCTATTCTTTACTCACCAACTACCGGTACAGAGGTTGCATCTTTTTTCTTAGGTATGAACATTGGAGCGTTTTTTACCATGTCTGGAAGTATTAGAAATCGGATTTTGGATCCTTGGATGTACACATCCGATACAGTGGCTTCCTTTCCATCACGATACGTCACACTGACGCCACTCAAGTGACAGTTCATACTATCTTCTACTTCAACTAGTTTGCCTCGGTAGGTGTCGCCGGTCATCGTTTCACATGTAATTACATGTCCCTCTGCTTCATATAATACTTTGATGGGTACCCCGATAGACATTTTGCGTCTTTGTAAAGCCTGCAATCCATAGAAACAAAATATTAACTGAAATGTAGTTTTTTTTACATACACAGGGAAGAAACTGTAGATTTGCTTAGAAGAACCTTTAACCAAGAACATACTATTGGACACATCCCAAGTCTCCATGACTGTGTAAAAGAGGATTCATTATTCATGTTAAGTGTAAGGATACATCATACTAACATAATAAAATACATTAAACTCCCTGTTACTGTGATATTTTTCAATAAAATACCCTAACAAACCTGCAGACTAAGTTTAAAGTGAATTTCCATTTACCTAGTTGGATTTTTACTAAAATATATCTTTAGATTATCATGTCAGATTCATTCCACATTTATACCTAAATAACTAGGTTTAACGAGTAGGCCCACTTAGGGTAGGAAACAATTTTTTTTTTGCTAATAATATAGTAAGTTTATGAGATGATTAATTCTAGTCATTGTCCAGAATAAATCAGTGTGAGTTATTTCCACTGCGACGACGGTAGGGCCTAACTTTTAACTTACCAATTTTTTGTTAAATGTAATTTTTTTTAACTTGTGTGTGTTGATGGTTTTATATTAATATTAATGACAGAGAATTTCTAGTAGGTTTAACTTACCTATTTCTATTTATGTAGCTATTTCTAGGTACAAAGATATATAATAGACTCTTTCCTAGTACCACAGTGCTAGTAGGCCTACATAATTACCATATTACTAGGAATAAGTATGATACCTATCTTTGTACCTAGGAATAAGCTTTATAAGTTAAATCAATATGATTTTTTCATTTTTCGGGCATTAAACTATTCAACCAACTGCCTCAATGCACAAGAAAATTACCGAAATCAAAATTCTCGACCTTTGTTAAGGATTGGCTTACACAATCCGTTTACCACATCACTGAATTTTATAACCGTGACAAAAGTACACCATGTAGTGGTAACCGCTAAGCATGTAAGGTAGTCATATTCAGGTACACCTGCATGGTTTGTGCATGTAACTTATTCTTTAATATTTGCCCTGAGATTGTTTTTTGCAGTTGTTAATCTATTTAGATTTTTGCATGTTTTTGTTTTGAGTGTTGACAAACCTATTGTAGGTACTTATTGTATATGTTACAATGTTATATGTGATCATTGGTGATCTTGTGATCTAGTAGTTTAAATATTGTGTTCACGTTGGTAACAGATCGTACAAATAAATCAACGCTGTGATCATACGTTGCCTCCCAGCCATTCAGAGCCCTCGCCTGTCACATGACCCGTTTCCGTTGTATCAGCCTGTAACCCTGTAACTGGATCCTTTCTCTCTCAGCATCTACCCTTCCATTACGCAACATTGTTGGTCACACGTTTTACAAAATGTAATCGGTGTAGTTATTTTCCAAATCGACTAGATTTCCCTAGTTAGATGGTGTCCCTGTACTACAACAGAGACACAACACTGGCGACAAGGATGGGATTTGACTTATGAGAGCTCTAGTGGAAGCGTGATGCTGTCGCTACGGGAACAGTTTCTTAACTGGGCTACGCTAATATCTATTATAACTATCGATTCGATTAGGCCTAGTAAACCTTTATTCGATTTTGTCATTATCAGCAAGTTTGGTTAGTTAGGTTAGGGGTAGGGCCTACTTTGGTATTATCCGGAGGCCATTTATTTTAGGGGGATTTTTTTATCGGAGGCCAACAATATCTACATAGGCCTAAGTAATTGGAAAGAACATACTTTAATTAATTGACTTATTGTCCAAATTTGACATGATTACGATTAGCGGTTTGAGTTCTGCCTCCCAGAAGGCAGCAATGTCGGCAAGGATTGAGTCAAATGCGTCGCTGCCGTATGCATGCGCCAAGTAGTTATACAGCGTGCCGCGATGGTTATGCGCTGCACCATGCACGCCGCCAAGTAGTTATACAGCGCGCTGCAACGGTTACATTAGGTTGGCAGGCAAAAGTACGACTTAACTTATCTGGTATCGTTCGATTAATAACAAAACGAGGAAAGTTCTTCGAACATATAACCGCCGCAGCGTGCTTTATAAGGGTGGCCTCCGGAGTATAACAAAGTACCAAGTTAGGTTAGCCTATGACAGTTTCAATTTATCATTAAAATACCTAGTTAAAAACAGCGATTAGGTAACTTATTAGGACTAACTTAATCAATATTTTCAATCGATAGTTTCAATGGATGATTTCAATCCATATTATAGCGTACTGTATCCCAGTTAAGAAACTGTACCCATTTAGGATAAGGAATTTAAATTGAAGGATTAGGCCTAGGCCTAAATTAAAGGATAGGTAACATAACACCTCTAAGTTGTAATATTTTATGAAATTGTAGCCGATGGTCAAGTTTTATTTTATAATAATAAATTCAGAATCCAATAATTTTGGAGCAGTTGTTAAGAGTAATGAACTTTAGGATCTATAAATATTGAAAAATTGAAGCAAGGCAAAAACCTAGGCTTAGGGCCATAAGGTCAAGTTCGGACATTATTAATTTTAGAACTAACTTTAAACTTTGGATTACAGCTACTTATTACTTACGTGATCAATGGAGAAGTTGACAATTAACGAAGCTATTAGGCTAATTAACTACAGTATTAATATTTTATTAAGAAAGCAATATATAACAATTATATTATCTTAAGTAGCCTATTCTCAACCTCACGTGAAAACTAGCCGCGTTTTATTTAATAGGAATAGATTGAATAGAATAAATCTTAATCCGGTTCGGTCGGTGCCAGTTCTGTTCCGGTTGTTCTGTTTCTTTTCTGTAATTGTAATCTGTCTGTTCAATGGTTCAATCTTCAATCTGCTCTGTTTTTTTTTTGTTAGTTGCTTCTTGTAATCTTCATTTCTTAGGCAGGATAATTTGTATGCAGCCCCATTGTGATTGAGAATTAATCTGTGGTTTCCTGACAATGTTTGGTATTAAAGTTTTTTTTTTTTTTTTTTTTTTTGGTTGTGGACTTCATCATTAAATACAAACTGTACAATAGGCTAAGTCATATCAAGCATTACAATTCAATATGCACAAATCAAACATCAAATATTAAAAAAGCAAACATGCAAGCATACAAAATAATACCCCCGCCGCAGCAAACCTGCAGACTAAGCGAATTTCCATTTGCCTGATTGGATTTACACTAAAATGCCTCCTTAAAATGTCACATTTATTCCCTATTTAAATAACATTATTTTAGTGAGTACTTAGGTTTGCTGCCACAGGGAGGATAAAAATATGTTTTTTGTAAAATTTTAATAGCTTAGTAGAAATGAATGCATTTTCCAAATTTGATCAAAATATGATCATAAACAAGCAAACTACAACTGTTTTACTTATTCTCCATAAGAACAACATGGGAATTTTAAATTTACAGTTTTTTGGAATTTTCTCCGTAACCATTAGCGCATAATAACGCTTCAATACACTAAATCATTTGTTTTTTTAAGCTCTACAAAATGGTTTGGAAAGAAAATGCTAAATTTTAAGTTTTAAGGGTCAAAAATTGGAAAAAATAATTTTTGCCCCATAAAACCCCCCATAAACTCCTGTTCCCATAGTCCGATCATGCTGGTTCGCGAACTCGTTTGAATAAACATAAGTTTACACGTTTTTACCAAATTTCATCAAAATCGGATGATTTTTGCTCGAGTTATTGCGCTAACGGACACATATATAAATATATATATATGAATTTGAACGGATGGTGTTTTTGGACTCTAGGGACTTGAAAACGAAAAAGTAAATCGGTCCCGGGTCCAGGTCTTACCATGAGAACTACGGTAATAGCTTATTCCCTATATGGGAAATTCGCTAAAATCAAGAGTTCAAAGCAAACAGCACTTGCAAAGCAGCAAACAATGCATCTTACCAAGCTATGCATTACTTGTGTTACATTTTTTTAATCATGCTAGAGAGATCTGCTTCATAAAGCTATTCCAAGCTATATAGAGAGTTTGAAAAAAACCATGAATTTATAGCTTTCACAAACTTAGTATTACACAGTTTTTTTACAAAGGGAGGCGATTGAAAAATTTCATACCTGAAACAGGATAACAATTCAAGACCAATCTTAATCTCTGTTCATGTGAAAGTTATTTATATTCCTTGTATCATACATATGGATGTCCCTGTTTGTCAGAAATACACTCTCATTATCTTTGATTGCTACTGGCACTGAAAAAATTAAATATTAGCAATAGTCATTTGCACCACACAGTTTGAACAATGGTTTGCAATGAGCTGGGTGATGAGTGTTACATACAATTCTTACTGCTATTTTCTGCAACAGAAGAACACTGTGGGTCCTGCTGGAATGACCCCACAGCCTAGCACAATACCCAATGTGAGATTGGAAAAAAGCAAAGAAAGCATATTTAAGGAAAACAAAAGGCATATGACATTTAAGTCTAAGCAACAAGAAAATGACTCTACTTGACTTTGAACAAAGAGAGTCCATGTAGCCTACTCCAGCTTAGGACAGAGTCAAGAGTAAACCCAAGCAGTTTTACAGGAACAGTATCACTCTGTGTGCTTAATCTGGTTCTACTTAGATCAAAAATTATTGACTGTGTCTTATCTTTATTCAGAGCAAGCTTGGTTAGAAAACCACTCTGCGGCTAGTTTAAAGTTAGACTCAACAGTTTCAATGGCTACCACAGGGTCTTCATGGCTAGCAAAAAGCGTTGCATCATCAGCGTACAACAGCACATTTGTGTCAAGTCTGAAATGTATGTCAATCATACAAACAATAAGCAGGAAGGGGCCCAATATGGAACCCTGGGGCACACCATACTTAACAGGCAATGGGGCTGATTTGGATCAAGGCCCCACTAGAAAAAACAGGCCATGCTGCAGCATGGGCAGCACAACACTACGTCACAGTGGTGGATAGTTGTATTAAACTCTTACCATTAAAATCCTACAAACAGCAAGCTTGTTTATTTACCTAAAACATACGGGAATGGTGATGGCAATGAATTTATCAATG